CTATAGAGAGAGACCCTGTCATAAAAAGAAAAAGGAGTTCAAAATTGTTTCCAGATAAAAAGTTTAAAAATTAAATATAAAAATCTTGGGAGGGAAATGTGGTGGTGAGGGTGTATGGGAGGAGTTGCATGGGAGGGAGTCAGGGATGGATTTTGTTTTTTTTTTTTTTGGTGTTTCGAGACAGGGTTTCTCTGTGTAGCTTTGCGCCTTTCCTGGAACTCACTCTGTAGCCCCGGCTGGCCTCGAACTCACAGAGATCCGCCTGCCTCTGCCTCCCGAGTGCTGGGATTAAAGGCATGTGTCACCACTGCCCTGGCGTCAGGGATGGATTTTATCAAAACACAAAATATGCATGTAGGAATGAAATTCTCAAACAATAATTAAAAATTACCTTATATGTATCTCAACTCATCCTATTTAAAGAGAGCAAGGATTTTCTATTACTCTCAATTCAAATGTCATTAATTTTTGGTAGGAAAGCTAACAAATTTATGAGATTTCTTAATGTATACCTCTGAGCACTTGTTATAACTCACCAATAGTATGGGGGTTGGGGAATAGATAAGACCCCACATTCTTTATCTTTCCTTTTCTCTCCCATATTTGCTCTACCTATAGTCTTCCCTCCCCCTTGTTTTTCTGTTCATGGAAATTTCATTCTTCTCTCTGGCAGGCTTTAAACTCATTGTTTAGAACAGGCTGGCCTTGAACTCACAAGATCCATCTGCTTCTGCCTCTGAAGTGCTGGGATTAAGCATGTGTGCTGTGCTCAGATTTTTCTTGCAGTCCTTTTTCTCTTAGTTAGCTTCTTTAAAAGGCTCTTTAAAGCTCTTTAAAAAAAAATCTCAAGCCCTGGACTAGCAAGAATGCTTAGCTGGTAAAGGTGTTTGCAGCATATGCTTGGAAATTCAAATTCCATCCCCAGGACTCATGTAAAAATGGAAGCAGAGAACTGACTCCACAAAGTTGTCTAACATGCAAGTCTTTCTCTGTCTCTGTCTCTGTCTGTCTGTCTGTCTGTCTGTCTGCCTCCGTGTATGTGTGTGTGTGTGTGTGTGTATCTCTCTCTCTCTCTCTCTCTCTCTCTCTCTCTCTCTCTCTCTCTCTCTCTCTCTCACACACACACACACACACACACACACACACACATGCACTAAGACATTAATAAAAAAAAAACTCAAGGTCTGATTTTTGATGCTCCTTAATCTGATGTCATCCTTTTCTTTTTGGGCTGTCTTCGTCTTCATTATAAATACAATATAGGCCAGGGACAGTCCTTAATTCTAGCACTAGGAAAGCAGAGGCAGGCCTCTGTGAGGCCAGCCTGGTTTACATAGTGAGTTACAGGCCAGCCAGAGTTACACAATGAAACATGGGTTGAAAGAAAGAAAGGAAGGGAGAAAGGAAGGAAAGAAGAGAGGAAGGAAAGAAGAAAGTAAGAGTGAAAGAGCATAATAATTTTATATCGTGTGTGTGTGTGTGTGTGTGTGTGTGTGTGTGTGTGTGTGTGTGTGTATGCGTTTGCCTGCCATCCCTGTGTGGGTGTCAGGAGTCAGTAGCATGTGTCTTCTTCTCTTGTTTTGCACTATTTATTTAGACAGGGTCTCACTATGTAGCTTTGGCTAGACTGAAACTCACTCTGTAGACCAGGCTGGCATGGAACTCACAGAGATCCCTCTGCTTCTATGTCCTAAATGCTGGATTAAAGCAGAGTGCCACCATGCCTGGCTGTATTTATTATGTTTTGTCTGTATCTGCTGGCATGAATCTGCTACCCTCTCAAAAAGGAAGAGACTTTGCTATGTTTTATCTCCTGAGCACTTAGAATAATCCTTAGTATACTGAATCCATGCAGTAAAGATTATGTAACTCAGCTTGTATTAACAACAGATCTACTATTATTGTTAGTGTTTACAGCAGTGGAGATCCAACTTGAGCCTTAGGCATGTAAGACAAGGGCTCTAACACTGAGCTATATTCCCTACAACAACAATTTTATTATGTATTAGGTCATGCATTTGAAGGACAGAGAAAACGCCATGTCTCCTGCTGATACTTATAAACCATGAGAATGTTATATAATGGATGTGAGTTAATATTTTTGGTCATTGGGAGTCTATATAACAATAAGAATTTTAGTGTGTTTTGATGCATGCCTTTTATCCTAGCATTTGGGAGGTGGAGGCAGGAGGATCAGAAATTTGAGTCCATTCTTAGCTACACAGTAGGTTTAGGGCTAGCAGTCTGGGGTGCATAAGAGCCTGTCTCAATAAAATCAAAACCAAAATCAAAACATCACCATCACCATCACCAACGGATAGAACTCTTTTGGTTGCAAGAGATAGAACTGCATTTGGATTGTTTTAAAGGAAAAATGTAGAGATTTACTTGCTCACAAAGTCAAACGATTTAGAAATAAAGACAGCTCTGGGTCTGCTGGGTAGCAGGGGTCTTTAAATTGTCTTTAGAATTTACTGATCTTTTTTCTCATCATAGCTCACTTCTGTTTTTCCTTTGGAACAGACTTATCATGGGCAGGTGTTTTTTTTTTTTTTTTTCCCCCTTTGTAGTAGCCGTGGGAGATTCAGCCTTAGCTTCTTGCAGATGACAAAGCCCAGAATTCTGGGCCTGGTGTAGGTTACCTGCTCTATGGTAAGGGACTGTGGTGTTCTCACTGTTCTGGCAAGGGTCACTTGTATAGCCTCTTAACCACTTGTGCTAAGAGTGGGAGAATGGAAAGAGGAAATTAATTTATAGAATTAAAGCAACCCTGTTTATGAGAAATGATGGACTAGGATAGCTGGTGTCAGAAGTACAGCACTCTGCCCTCTAGTGGTTGCTTTGTAAGATGACCCTTCAGCATTCCTCCAAAGACAATAGGTGATTTCACACCGTGTTGTCTGTCATCATTTAAGAACTTCAGCGTCTCTCTCTTACCCTCTGTATTGAAGCACTCATCTACTTGAAGCAGTCTTTCTTTTGACGTAGTACTCTTTGTGTTTTTTCTTTGTTCCTACTATCACTCTTTCCTGTTGGGTTTACCAAATCTTGAAAAAAAAAAAATCTTAAAAATTTCCTGTTGATGTGTGGTTTTCAGCCAGGGGAGCTTTATTCTGTCAAGCAATTTCTCATATCTGATCTCAGTCCCTGCATCGAACATTGATTCTTGTGTGCTAACCCCATCCCCTTGTTGCTTATGAAATTGGAGCTGGATTTTGGTCATAGGATGTTGAAAGTCAGTGTAAATCACAGCATATTTGCCCAATGCCTGGTGACTTCCTGAACTTCACAAATTAAGAGTATTTACACTTGTTCTGTTAACTTAACAAATAGATGGATCTGTCTTAAGTCTGTTGCTATTACATTGATCTAATCTTTGTATTAACAACTCACAGGCATTTCTGATTTTCTAAGAGCAAATTAAACACATGTATTGTATGTTTTATGAAAAGGTTATTGATCGGTTTAAATCCATTAGTACAACAGATGATTGCTAAGACCATAAACTAAATCTGTTTCTAAATTTTTATAATTTCTGGATTTATTCTTTCTTTGTCCATTGAGGATAATAAGAGTTCACTGACTTGATTATTCCTCATATTTTTTCTTTTCCTTTCAATTTTCACTTTGGAGACTAATATGAGGAAACCAGGGGCTATAGCTGTAACTCAATGGTACAGTGCTTGCTTAGCATGCAGAAGGCCCCAGGTCCCAGTACATGGATTGCCAAATCCCAAAACCAACCAAACCAAAGCCACTCACCCTCCATCAAAAATCTGCCACATTCTAAAAACATTAAGATCTTATTCTGCATTTTCCATATCATTCTTTTCTTTTTGCTCTATTTGAAATTATGTGTTACTGGTAAAGAAAGTATTATGTGTTATTCTTAAGTATTATTATGAAATTATTAAATGAAACCAGACTGCCTAGGCTTATTGTTTCTGTAGAAGCAGAAATAAAAGCCTAGTGCAGTGGCTCACATCTGTAGGAGCAGTAGGAGGCAGAGGCAGCCAGGAGCAGAAAGAGCTTGAGAGTCAGCCTGGGCTACCTAAGCAAGCCCCTCCCCCCTTTTTTGTAAAGAATACAAGCAAATAAAAACAAGAATCCCTAAGTTTCCCTGGAAACAAACGTCATCCCCAAATTGCTTGGTGTTAGATGATTTTTATTATTCAGTAGACCAAACATTCCTTGTCTATCCTTTTCTATAAAAATGGAGGAAATTAGCCGGGCATAGTTGTGCACGCCTTTAATGCCAACATTTGGGAGGCAGAGGCCGGCAGATCTCTGTGAGTTCAAGGCCAACCTGGTCCATATAGTGAGTGCCAGTGCAGTCAGGGATACATAGAGAGAGAGGCTGTCTCTAAAGAGATCGAGATTGAGATAGACAGACACACAGACAGAGGGAAGAGGAAACTGGTAAAACGTAATGAAAAGATTTACAGTGGGAGTAATTACTCTGGGAAGTACTTAAATTCCCAAATTCCTTTTTGTGAACTAGGAATAGTAATAATAAATGGCAACATATTTGTGTTAATCTGTTAGCTGTCCGGGACAGATTATAAGGGCTCAGCAGAAGTTATTTGGTAAGATACTGAGAACATAATGACGTAGGAGTGTATTTTTGTCTTTATTTGTAGAAGAATTTAGTAACAATTATGAAATTAAAATCCTTCGCAAACTTGAAACAATGACGCTTTTTGACCGCTCCCGGCTACCGTCGCGGAGCATGCGCAAATAAGCCTGGCGGGACACAAGTGTCATGGCGCGCTCCATCTGAAGTCTGTGCAGTTTCCTGACAGTGGCGTGTGTTTTTTCCTCTTACTTTGGACAGGTGAGTTTCCGGATTTGTGGATACTAGGAGCACTTGTACCAATGTTCAGCGACTGTGGGCCGCGCTGCTTTTTTGGCGGAGTTTCGTTTCCGCAGATTTTCTTCCTTGGGCCGACCGCTCGCTTGTTTTCGCAGTTTGAGAAAGACTTGGCAGCTGGGATGGGGACTGGGAGGCTAGAGCGCTGCCGGGAGAGAGGCCCGTGAGGCCGCGCGTGATGCTGGCATAGTCAGGGACTCACAGTCTGGTCTAGCCTCGTTTCTTCCCTCACGTTTCTCGTGAATGTGCTTGTCCTTGTGCTACGTGATCAGGCTGTGAGTAAATGAGTTTTACGCTGAAGGTGGGCATAGGGGCAGGTGACTTGAGTTTTTCCTTTTCTCTTTCGCGTTCCTTTGCTTAGAAAACTTTTCTGTATTTCAAGGGAACACTTGTTTCTTACATGGTGAATTTCACTGTGCTGTGGTGTTACAGTGCGGGGTAAGCAGTTTTCACAGTGGTCAGACTGGGCTAAAAAATTTTTTTTTTTTTTTTAAAAAAAAGATAGTTGTAAAGAGATCTTACAGCGGTTTTGTGACTTACAGGATACTTGCATTTTCTAATTAATTTTAATTTTCCAGATTCATCTTTGAAGAGGACTTGAGACCAATTTCAGATAATCAAGGTATTTGGGTTTATTTTAAATCGTTTATTTGAGTGATCCCTTACACATTAGAATATAAGGAAAGATGTCCCAATTTCTTAGTAATTTTTTGAAAACTAGATTTCCATATAACTAAATCGGAGAGACGTTTTTTGTATTTCTTCCTTAATCTTATATTTCCGTTAAGTAGCATGGACATGCTCTCCTCCTTTGCTGTTTGTGGGCACATCTATTTTCTTTTTGTTTGTCTGTTGTTTGGTCTCTATTATATTCTACTTTTCTGGCAGTTAAATACGACGTTTTAAAAAAATTTATTATTTTATATGCATTGGTGTTTGGCTACATGTATGTCTGTGTGAGGGTGTCAAATCCTGGAGTTACAGACAATTGTGAGCTGCCATGAGGGTGCTGGGAATAGAACCCAGCTTCTCTGGAAGAACAGTCATTGCTCTTAACTGCTGAGCCATCTCTCCAGCCCAAATATGGCATTCTTGAAGGCTTGTTTCTGTACCTCTTCCACCTGGGTTATCTAGTTTTTTTTTTTTTTTTTTTTTTTTTTGGAGACATTGCCTTAATGTGTATTCCTGGCTAGCGTGGAACTCTATATAGACCCAAGTGCTGAGATTAAAGATGTGCACCGCTGTGGCAGGCCTGAGTGTGAAGTGGTATGTCTTTGTGGCTTTGAATGGTCTTTCCCTCATGGCTAATTTTGCTTATAGCTCTCATGCGCTTATCAGGTATTAATTTGGGCTTATCAGGTTGTAATTTGGTTTATCAGGTTTGTATTTTGATTTCTTTATTTACTCTGATACTAGTCCCTTATCATATTATGCAACTTACTGTTTTTTTTCTCCCACTACATAGGCTGTCTTTTTACAGTCTTCATGTTGTCCTTGAAGCATGAAAATTAATTTTTTTTTTTTTTTGAGAACAGGTTTCACATAGCCCAAGTTAGCTTCAAATTTGATTTGTATCCAAGGACAGCCTTTAACTCCTCATCCTCCTGCCTCTTACTTCCCAACTGCTGGAATTACAAGCATGTGCCACTGTGCCTGGCTCACACATTTTAATTTTGATGAGGTCTAACTTAATTGTTTTCTTTTTTTGCTTTGTCATAACTAACTATTGTCTAAACTAGTGTCTAATGTTGGCAAGATTTATACTTGTGTAAGTTATAAGAGTTTCATAGTATTAGGTCTCCTAAATTTAAGTCTGTAGCCCCTTTTGTGTTAATTTTTGAATATGATGTGAGATGGGTCTCTAGCTGCATTTCTTTATGTGTGACTATCTAGTTTTAGTATCATTTGTTGAAAAGACTGTTCTTTCTCCCATTGAATTGTTTTTATACTTATGTTAAAATCATTTGATTCAGTAATGTCTGTTTGACGTTTCTTCTTGTCAATCTCTATGAAATAATAACTTTAGAACAATGCCTATCAAATAAAATTATTTGGAGGGTTTGTTGAACCTAGCTTCATTAAGAATAACTGATTCAGCATGTCTATGGTGAGGGCATAAGACTTCATTTCTTTCAAGTTCCACTTGATGCTAATGCTGCTGTTCTGGAAATCACACTGTGAAAACAACTAATGTATCACATTGGTCTGTGATCTTTGCTGCACATGTAAGAGAATTGCTGGGAGTTTAAATTAATATAGTGATGCTCCGGTTCCATTTCTAGATAATGATTCAGCTGGCCTAGGGTTTAGCTGTTTTCTCTCTATTCCTTCTTCTTGTTCCTCTTCCTATTGAACCCATATTGTTGGTAATAATTTCCAAAAGCTCCCCAGGGAACCAGAATGAGTCCTCAAGATCTAGAACTGTTGCTATTGGAAATTCATGGTTCAGGGTATTTGATATTATGAAAAGTTCTTTACCAATTCACTTGTGTAAGGAACCACTACTCTACCATATCTATCCTTTCTGTCTTTATCTCTATGAAACTTGACTTCCTGTGCTTTTGAGAGGAATTTTTAAGAGATCTTTTTGCCTTATTTAACTATTACTTTTTCCCCCTAAAATTCATTTTCCTGGTACTTAAATGTTTGAGGATTTAAACTTTTTTATCTACCAGCTTGTCTGAAGTAAAAACTTTAGCTTATTCATAGTGATGAATGAGACTGTGAAAGTAATTATGATATAGAGTCAGGTTTAGGAATGTTTACTCCTTAAAGTAAAATTCTAGTAATTGAACTGCTGGACGAAAGATGTGTGTGTTGTACAGCCTGAGGCGAATTGGCAGGTGGTTCTGCAGAAAGAGTATACTAGTTGTGCCATGCTTTTAGGGAGCCACAAGGATTTTCTAGTCTAATTTCTCATCAAGGTAATGATAGATAACTCATTGTTTAAATATTTATTGTTTGTGTAGTTGAGCATTTGATCCTGTTTTTATTGTCGTTTTCATAAATGAATCTTCTGTTTTCTGGGATGCTTACTTCTCAGAATTATATTAGACTATTACATGGTTTGTGCTTTTCCATTATTGAGAGAAGGCCTAGACTCTGATTCTAACTTTATCAGTGTACAAGTCCTCTAGCTTCAGTAGACACTAGTTTTGTGTGTTTAACAGTGCTTCCTAACTCTGTAACAATGTTGTTTAGCGATTGACTCCTTTTTTCCCTGTTTGTTTAAATTACATTTCCCTTCAGTGGATCTGGTGTAAACATTGTATGATTTTTTTTTTAGAAACTTTTACTTTTATTAATATGGCATTTAATCATTTGTAATCCTTCAGTAGTTCTTAGTAACATTCAGATGTGCTCCTTGGTTTTAGGCTTCCTCACTAGTATAATGTAGGATAATAGTGAGAGAAGAAATCCAAGGATTAAGTTTTCATCGTAGATTTCATTCTATGTAAGAATTTCCTCTAGTATTATAGAAAGAGCAGGTAAGTTCAACATTATCAAACATTATTATCTATTTATTTAGTCATTAAGTATGGTGTGCCTGCATTGTTGGAGGTGTTGGCAGTGAAAGTGAGATGATGCTTTAGTGCTTAAGAATGTTAAGTTGTAGTATGAAAGATGTGCAGTTATCCATGATATCAGGTAGTTAATCATGTGAAGAAAATTGCAGCATACAGTAGAGTGAGACTGTGTGCCCTTGGGCAACGTGGTCATCTTAGTTAAGGTGGTTGGGAAAGGCCTCTCTTAAAGTGGTGTCATTTGTATAAGTGTTGCAGTAAGCCTTGCAGGTGATAGTCCAGCTGAGGAGCAGCATATATGAAGGCCTAGTTTGACTTACTCAGTGTGTCTAAAGGTTAGTACAGTAGGGACAGTGGGAAGTTGTGATGGTTAATCATTACTGACTTAACTAGATTAAGACTCACCTAGGAGGCAGAGCTCTAGGTGTATCTGTGAAGGGATTTCCAGAGAGGTTTAGATGATGAAGGAATTCCTGTCCTGCATGTGGGCTAGACTTCCAGACTGAATTAAAAAGTGTACAGATGGAGGAAGCCCCCTGAGACAGGCATTCATCCTTCTCTGTTTCCTGACTGTAGTGCAATGTGATGAACCACCTCATGCCACAAACCTTCTTTGCCCCCGATGGACTGTATCTTCTCAACTTGAGCTCAAATAACCCCCTTTTTTTGTAGGTACGTTGTCACAGCAGTGAGAACTCAGTTACTCAGACAGAGGTAGCCAGGCCCGTACTTTGTGAGACTGGGTGGTCCGCAGTAAACCACTCATCAAGAAGCTGTAAGGTGTTAGGTACAGTCCTGTGCACTTTAGGTAAACCAGAGCAAAGCACGAAAAATCTCTGCTCTTACCACGTGTGTATTCTAATGGAGAGAGGGAATAAAAGACATTTGGGCAAGTGATAAAGTTCTGCTCTGCAGTTAAGAAAGAAAGAAAGAGAGAAAGGAAGGAAGGAAGGAAGGAAGGAAGGAAGGAAGGAAGGAAGGAAGGAAGAAAACAAAAACATCTGGGCAGTGGTGGCACACACATTTAATCCTATCACTCAAGGCAGAGGCAAGTGGATCTCTGAGTTTGAGGCCAGCCTGGTCTACAGAGTGAGTTCAGGACAGGCGGGGCTACACAGAAACTCTGCCTGGGGTGGGTGGGGGAAGCAAAAAACCTCAACCAACATCAACAACAAAAACAAGATTAGGGAAGGGTGATAGCATGTATGGGATGGAGTAAGGGGTTTGGTGACTCTTGCAAGTTGTCTTCTGACCTTCATACAGGTACCGTGGCACACACTAGCATTCCTGTACTCTGACACATATCATGCACATAATAAATATAAATATTTTAAAATGATGGCTTGGATCATGAATATCATATGTGTGAGAGTGCTCACAAACAGCCTCAGTATATTTTGAGAGAGGCCAACAGAATTTATTGGTGGATTGGATTTGGAGATAATGCAAAAAGGAGCCAGGGATAATTTTAGGGTTTTGGGTCTAAGCATATTGGATTGCCTTTAAAGGAAAGAGGGAAGTTTGTGAGGTGATGTAGTGTGAGAGGCAGAGGACCAGAAGTTCTGTTTTTGACTTGTAAAGTTTGATTTGTCGTTAGGCACTCAGACAGTGATTTGCAATAGGCAGTTTCACATCTGAGTGTGAGGTTCAGGGGAAGAGTGGGCTGGTTATATTAGCACAGGGTTGGCATTTCAAAGGCCTCAGAGTGATGAAGAGAAGGTCAGTTCCTGTAATGGAGCCATGGGCTAGTCCAGGGTTGAGAAGCTGGATCGATGAGAAACAAGGCAAAGACACCTGGCATGGGGCTCCTGTGGTAGGAGACCTAGGAGAGTGTGGCATCCTGATGCCCATGGGGAAGTGCTTCAAGGAGGGGTAGTTGGTTCTGTCACATGCTGCAATTGTGTTTCAGAAGATGACTGGGAATCAGTCATGGTATATCATTGTAGACCATCTAAATCAGACTTGGTTGTGTGATGGCCACAGTCTGAGAATGGAGGATAATTGTATAAATATAGATGACTCTTGAAGAAGTATTTTTTCAAATGAGAGAACTATAGGGGAGCTAAGAAGTTTTTTTTTTTCCCCCCGAGAGTTTTTG